TCTGTTGTAGAGTCTACAGCTGGGTTGATGTGTGCCTGAACTGCTGGTTGAGGGTGGTTGATCAGGGCTTGGTTCTGTTGTGGAGTCTACAGTCCTGCTGGCCGCTGGGTTGATGTATGCCTGAACTGCAGGTTTAGGGTGGTTGATCAGGGCTTGGTTCTGTTGTGGAGTCTACAGTCCTGCTGGCCGCTGGGTTGATGTGTGCCTGAACTGCTGGTTGAGGGTGGTTGATCAGGGCTTGGTTCTGTTGTAGAGTCTACAGCTGGGTTGATGTGTGCCTGAACTGCTGGTTGAGGGTGGTTGATCAGGGCTTGGTTCTGTTGTAGAGTCTACAGCTGGGTTGATGTGTGCCTGAACTGCTGGTTGAGGGTGGTTGATCAGGGCTTGGTTCTGTTTAGGGCTGCAACAACTAATCGATAAAATCGATAATAATCGATTATGAAAATCGTTGTCAACGAATGTCATTATCGATTAGTTGGTCTGCTTACGTCACGGGGAGCGTTTACTGGTGATTGGTTGAAACAGGCCAATCAGGATGCTCTCTGTCTTACACGCGCTTCATGAGGCACACACGCAAGGTCTCTCTCCCTCCGTTGCTCTGCTGCGCGCTCGCGCTACACGGTTTGGAGCACAGTCTCTTCTGTCTCACATGCGCGCTCTTGCTTGCGTGCTCAAATCCCGGGAGTTTGAACTAATTTGCGAGCCGCTATCAATATGCGGGTGACTTCCAGAACTTCCGGGAGACTTGGGATGTCTGTATTTTGCGTCTCGAGCATCAGGTTGCGCAATCAGTTCGCTCGCAACATAAGTGATGGATTAAAATAGTGCTACCGCAGAAATATTAAATTAAAACGGTCTTTACAAAGCGAAGCACTAAATATAAAGGCAGTTAATAACAGCAGCAGTAAATTATTGTTTTTTAGTCACTGTACTCAGTGGTTTTCAGCGAATGTTTGTGCACTAATGCATAATTTTTCCTGTCTTTTTAATCAAGCCTGTTAGCTTGCTGCGTACCTCCACTCCGCTCTCTTTATATAGCATTTGTCTACTATTAAGTTTTAATTGTTTTTCAAACGCGATCTACTGCGGCTCTACGTTCACACGCTTGTTTTCAGTCTTTCTATATTTATTTTTACAAATTATCCTTATAATTCAATTAATTTTGAATAAAAATTAAATGAATTATATATTTGAGATGTTTTTAGTTTATATCTTCACATCTGAACAACATGTCTGTAAATTTGTTTTAACAAAAATTGTGTTAAAACAATATGTTGGATATTTAAATGTTTTTTTTTTTACATTAATCATGGTTGTCAACTTGCCATCAGCAATTATCATTAAAAACAATGCAAATATTGATATTTGTAAAACTCAATGTGTGGCTTTTGCACTTTTTAAAGTACACTTTTACACATAAATATCCTAATTTAGGGTTTTAGGTAACACTTTATTTTACGCTGTCCTTGTTACATATGTTACATGTACTTACTGTAGTAATAACAGTAAATTATGCATAATTACATGCAACTATCCCTCAACCTAATCCTACCCTATTCCTATAGTAAGTACATGTAGTTACTTAATATTACTCTGTACTTAAATATATAATTACACTGTAACAAGGACACCTTAAAATAAAGTGTAACCGGGTTTTATTTAGTCATAATAAACAAAAAATCTAATTGAATTTTTATCCGATTAATCGAAAAAATAATCGTCCGATTAATCGATTATCAAAATAATCGTTAGTTGCAGCCCTAGTTCTGTTGTAGAGTCTACAGTCCTGCTGGCCACTGGGTTGATGTGTGCCTGAACTCCTGGTTGAGGGTGGTTGATCAGGGCTTGGTTCTGTTGTGGAGTCTACAGTCCTGCTGGCCGCTGGGGTTGAAGTGTGCCTGAACTGCTTGCTCGTCATCTGTATCTTCCTCTTGGCCACGTGCTCCTTGTACGCATCTATCTCAGCATTGCCCCTGCATTACTTTAGAAATAAGAAAAAGGATCAGTATAGAAAGAGACAAAATATTCAAACAAAATCATATACCGGAAAAAAATATAAATATTTAAAACTGAAAGCATGCGGCCAAGGAGCTCTCCCCCTTTATTCCTTATTTATCAACTATTTGATAAATCTAATCTAAGATAAAAGCATAATAGAATGAGATGCAATATTGCACACAATTCAACAATAATGTTTGCTTTATATCATTCATGACATTTTATATTTATATCTTATACCTCCTACAGGAATAAAAGCAAAATGGTACTGAAGCAAGATAAATTGATAGCCTACCTTGGATGCGTGTCTGTCACGGAACGGGTAAGAAAAAAAAGTGTGAGGACTCAAGTGCAGGAGAAATTATATTTATTTACAAAAGAAAACATAAACACAAAACCCACGACGGGGAAAACATAACTAATAAAACTAAAACAAACAGAACAAGAAACTTACTGGAGGATCACAGGGAACAGGGAACAGGAAACATTAGACAACGATCCGACAAGGACTGCAAACAAGAGGAGACTTAAGAAGGGAACAAATCAAGAGGGAACAGGTGGGAGAACTCAAACAATAATTAGGTAACGAGGGGGAGGGATCAGACAATGACAAGAGCACATGGCTCAACATAACAAAACACCCATGTGCATCACAAGACAGGACAGACATGTGACAGTGTCATTGCTTCAGTTGCTCGAGCGCCTCTACTGGTGGAAACCATATTAAACTATCTAACCTTCATACAAAACAACCAATATAAAATCTATTATCTTGTTTGAGATTATACAAACACTATTTATCTTCCCAAATATATTTGATTTGGAATAAAGTTTTAAACTTGGAATTGAATTTAATTGTAATTGTATTCACCTTCTGGACACCTTCTGGATTTTAATGTCATTTTTGAATTAATTTTAAAGTTATATGGTACAAGTTTAATTAATAAAACATGTGAGTGTTATTAGATATGAAGATTTACCTTAACAACTCCAGTTGTGTCTGAGCAGCTCAATGCAAGTTGTCTGATTTAAATTTCTGCAGTGCCAATAAAAATAAAATCACATTCTGATAAACACAGTAAATTAAATCAGTTAAAAGTGTTGTGCCTGAACGTGTTCATTGAACGATAGTTCATGAACTCGTTCATATTTTGGGCGAACGCGAACTGAACGTAGGTGTCTGTGAACGCACGCTCTCTCAGTTTAACTTCGTTCGGTAGGGTGCTAGATTTCTATAGAGCTTTCCAGGCGAAAACCCGGCTAAAACACACCGTAAACAGGCCTTAATATGTAGCGGTGGAAAAACACCCAATCTGGCAACACCAGCCACCAGTGTCGCACCGCCGCATGCGTATTCAAAACAAAAAGCAGACACCCGACAAAGCAGCGTGGAGGCGTCGTATGATCATTTAAACGAGTTTTATGACAAGGTCGGTGAGGATGGGAAAAATCTTATATTTCTGTGCAGAATTAACTATGAACTATGAACTAGAAGTGAACTCAGTTCAAAATTGTGAAGTGTGAACTGTGAACTGAACTAGTTAATTTTAAAATTTGTGAACTGAACTTTGAACTAGTTCATGTAGAAAGTGAACTTTCCTAACACTAGGGGTGCTTCTCATTTTTTATTTGTGCATCCTCGTTTCCTTTCCTCGCTTCCTTTCCTCGCGTCTCAGCTCCACCCCCTGTAGGACGCGAGGGAAGGCTGCAAGGAAAAAATATGAGGACGGAGGAATTGAATGAAAGCTTTTTTTATACATTGGAATACTTGATCACTCGAACGTCACTTCACTGCGTCATCAGCAGCGCTCAAAGGATCTGCCCTCATGTTGTTAAAGTTTGTTTATTTAAGAAATGAATAATAAATAATAATAAAGCAAGATACCTTGTTGAAATATGTGAGTTGTGTGGTTTATGTAAACTACAAAAGTAAAGTATAAATTCAAATGATTGTGACAGATGTGATGGGGGAGGAGAATTGATATGTGCGTCATGTTTAGTCGATAAAACTCTTCCGCAAAGGGTACACCTGTGTATCCTCGCTAATGACTCCTCTGGAAGCCTCCTCACTCCTCGATCCTCGCCTCCTCGCGGTGCAATTAGAGAATTGAGATGTCCTTCAAGATGGCTGAGCTCGATCGGTTTCCGGGTCATAGGATGGAGGACGGAGGAGCGAGGAGACGAGGAGGGATATTGAGAAGCACCCTAGGAATACACAATGTAACTTCTGCCGCTTAATAACAAAACTTATTTAAAGGAATAGTTCACTTAAAATTGAAAACCAAACAGTTGATGGACCCATTTGTTTCCATAGTCCATCAACTGTTTGATTATCGACATGCTTCAAAATATCTTCTTTAGTGTTTAGCAGAACAAAGACATTCATACAGGTTTGAAACAACTTGAGGGTGAGTAAATGAGGATCACCAAGCTGGGCATTTAGGCATATTTCTGTGTGTTTTTAAGTGTTTAGGCACAAACCTAAAGTTCACTTTTCTTTTCCATGTTCCACTCCGTCTCGGGGCGCACACACAGAAAGCCGCTTGAGGAACAGTATCACTTTCGCCTCTTAATGCAGTTTTAATAACTCTTTATTATTGAGTATGTCCTGTAGTTTAGTGAAAGTAGACTATATTATACAACAATCACTGATCTAGCTGGTTTGGACGTTAAGTTTGGGCTTTTAGGGAGGATCGAAAGTTCGGAAGGTGTTCAGTCAGATTTAATCGAGGTTGTTTAAGGGTTAGTTCGCCTCAAGAAAAAAAAAGTAATTCATTCATTACATTTATATAGCGCTTTTCTCTGCACTCAAACTGCAAAACTGTTCTGACTGTTCTGGCAAAACATTTGCACCTGGATAATTGGGAGTGATTGTAAGTGTGATGATCATCTGCTAAATGAGCAACAACGACCACAATTCACTCCTTCAGTCAGTGAAGCTCCCACAGCCGTTCATGAGAGTTTAAATGCTGGGGAATATTCCCATCTTCCCACAGGAGAAGAAGAAGCAAGCAGGAGGAATTACTCCAGGAGAAACTACGGACATACGATTGTAAAGATGGAGATTAAGGAAGAACCCTGCAGAATAAAAGATGAAGATACAGAGGAACAAATAGGTTGGTGTTTTCCTTCATTCTCTTTAATGACTGATGAGGAACATTAAGATGAAAACTCACATAAAACAAGAAAATCCCAAACTAGATATTTGTAGACTCAGTAGTAAACTGGATTTTGCTCATTTTGCTCAAACTTTCTGATTTTGTTTCTAATTTGTCCATCTTCAATTGAATTTTAATGTTGTTTTTAGACCCGATGGAAGTGAATGAATGAGGACAAACAGCATTTCGCAAACGAAGATGGAAACATCATTTCACAGACTGAAAAGAATTTCACACAGAAACGAGCTGGAAAAACTGGAGTTAAAGGATCTTTCAGTGTGGAAAAAGTTACAGACAGAAAAAACCCCTAAATGTGCACATGAGGATTCACACTGGAGAAAAACCATTCACATGCTCTCAGTGTGGAAAGAGTTTCACAACAAAAAGAGTTCTGAATGACCATATGCTCTCTCACTCTGGATTGAGATCATTCAGCTGTGATCAGTGTGAGAAAATATTTGTCTTTGGATCAGGCTTAAGAACACACATTAAAACTCATGCTGATGTGAAGCCACACTTTTGTTCTTTATGTGGAAAGACTTTTTCACGACTGCAAATTTTAAAAGATCATGAGAGTATTCATACTGGTGTGAGACCTCATGTGTGCTCTGACTGTGGGAAGACCTTTATTACATCGAGTGACTTAAAAAAACACCAGAGAGTTCATACTGGAGAGAAACCATACAAGTGTTCACACTGTGGAAAGAGTTTTGCTCTGTCAGGAAACCTGAAAACACATGAGCGAGTTCATACTGGTGTGAGACCTCATGTGTGCTCTGACTGTGGGAAGACCTTTATTACAGCGAGTGACTTTAAAAGGCACCAGAGAGTTCATGGAGAGAAACCGTTCAAGTGCTCTTTATGTGGAAAGAGTTTCACCCAACTATCTAATCTAAAGACTCATGAGAACAAGCATTAAGATGAAGATCTGTAAATGATTATTTTCAACAAGCAAAAATAGACATGAATTATTGTATTACTTTTATTCCTCCCTCTTCTTTTGAAGCAGATTCTGTGTCGCATCATCAGGATAAATCAGTGTTTTTTGTATAAAGTGAGCATTTACAATCCCACTCGGACATTCAAAATATTTGTAATTCACCACACAGCATATGTAATTTCATTGTACAGTTAAGTATGTGTATTAAAGATCTATAAAAGGTTCTCAGACAGAAACACATTTGGGTCATTTGTGTCAAAATTGACTGTAATTCATATTAAAGACATCTTAATATTCTTTTAGATTACCTTTCCTTTTCGTTTCTAAATTTTTAAGGCCCAATAGGATTAATTTCCAGAGATACAGTGATCTCAATGTGGCTCTATGAGTAAACTGGTACACATTTGCAATGGCTGCACATTTTTTGAATAACAAATAACGATGAAATTAGAAATATATCTCTTTTTTTTCTATCAACACAATTGAACATTCATGTCTGAGTGGCATAAATAGTATTTTTCTAAAGTTTGTGTGCCCATAACTCTAAAAGTATACTTTTTCTGAATAAACTTCTCTTTTCTTCATTTTAAAGGCCCTATTTGGTTCAATCCCATAGTGTTGGCGCTGCCATGTTCTTGAAGGATAACTGGTAAATTTTAATAAACTATACGAAGGGAAAAACACACACATCACTCTGTATTTTGTTGGACCGGAACCGGAACATTTGTATTTGGCATTTTTCTATTTCCATCTGTGGAATGCGGGTTACATACATGTTAGCAGTTTGAGCGCACACCTATTACAAACATCAACACCCTCACTTGCTCTCATACTGTAAAGTATATCATTATAAAAACAAAACACATGATGAACACAGACCCGGTACCTATAACCAGTATGTAACCGGACCGAATTAAAACGCAGATTTCGGTGCCTCGTTTCGGTGCCACTTAAATGCTTCAGCTGTCCGTTGAAATATTTGCACTCTGGTTCTCCGAAACGGACGTAAGAAACATCACAGATAAATCACCCGTTAACCCTTTGACGCGTACGATCAACTTCTAAATTCAAATTTGCGTTCGCGTGTTGGCTGGCGCTGAGCCAGAGACAGACGCTTTCAGCGCTGTCATATATCACAACTATTCAGTGTTTTCAACCACATAAGGTTTATTTTTGGTTTCAGAAAATACACATAACCTAAGTACTAGCAAAACAACATTTATAGTTTGTAGAATACACACTGATGTCTATGGAAGCGGAACAATCCTTTCAATTATAAATTGATGACGTGTTTAGATATTGTGTAGGTAACACAAGACTTCACCAGCCACTTACTTTAAAGGAGAACTCCGGCGCAAAATGAACCTTTGGTCTAATAAAACATTGGTACCTAGTCAACCGTTCTCTGAGATTTGTTTTCATGATAATCGAATGTAAAGAGTTTTATCTCTAAAAACTGTTTAGCGTATAACGCTAGTAATGGGGGCATTTAATAAGTAAAAAGAAATCGCTAGTTTATACCACTAACAAGACTCAAAATAGCCCCACACGAACACAGTAGCATAATGAGGGTCCCTACATGCAAAACGAAGCATTGAGAACTTTGTAAGTGTACAGACCGTTTAATAAGAAGATAAAGATAAAGACAGTCCACTTCGTGTATACAGACAGGAGCCATCTTTGGAAAACAGTCTCGACTAATCAAACCACGAACGACGTGCTAAGTGAGCTGAACTGTATGAATGGCGTTCGTGGTTTGACTAGTTGAGACTGTTTTCCAAAGATGGCTCCTGTCTGTATACGCGAAGTGGACTGTCTTCATAATATATCTTCTTATTAAACGGTCTGTACACTTACAAAGTTCTCAATGCTTCGTTTTGCATGTAGGGACCCTCATTATGTTACTGTGTTCGTGTGGGGCTATTTTGAGCCTTGTTAGTGGTATAAACTAGCGATTTCTTTTTACTTATTATATGCCCCCATTACTAGCGTTATACGCTAAACAGTTTTTAGAGATAAAACTCTTTACATTCGATTATCATGAAAACAAATCTCAGAGAACGGTTGACTAGGTAACAATGTGTAATTATAAGACAGTTGCAGCTCATACAGAACGCTGCTGCCAGGCTTCTGAGCAGAACCAGAAAATATGAACACATCACACCAGTCCTCAGGTCTTTACACTGGCTCCCAGTTACATTTAGGATTGATTTTAAAGTATTATTACTGGTATATAAATCATTTAATGGCCTAGGACCTAAATACATTGCAGATATGCTCACTGAATATAAACCCAACAGATCACTCAGATCATTAGGATCACATCAGCTAGAATTACCAAGGGTTCACTCTAAGCATGGAGAGTCTGCTTATAGCTATTATGCCAGCCGCAGCTGGAACCAGCTTCCAGAGGAGATCAGATGTGCTCCTACAGTAGTCACATTCAAATCCAGACTCAAAACACATCTGTTTAGCTATGCATTTACTGAATGAGCACTTTGCCACTGTGTCCGACTGTTTGTACTGTATTTTATTTAATTTTTTATTCTAAACTGTTTTAATTATTCTTATTTCTTTTGATTATTTTAATCTCTTTATTCTTAACTGTTTTAATTATTCCTATTTCTTTTGATTTTTCTATGTAAAGCACCTTGAATTACCATTGTGTATGAAATGTGCTATATAAATAAACTTGCCTTGCCTTGCCTTGCCAACTTGCCTTGCCTAATTAGACCAAAGGTTCATTTTGCGCCGGAGTTCTCCTTTAAAGGGATAGTTCACTTTGAAATAAATTGTTGGTATGTTTTAGCTTACCTCATGGTCACCACCTCTAAGAGCATGCACAGAGAAGTCCAAATTAAACATGATTTAATGACTCGTAAATGTAAGTACACATTGATGGCCTAAGACACGAAACGAGCGGTTTGTGTGAGAAAACGAACAGTTTATATCGTTTTTACCTCTTGTAACCACAGCCACCCCCTCAGATCACTTGGACGTGGCCGTCTCTGGCCCCCTGAACTGTCGGCACAGCCCTGGCCCCCTGAACTGTTGTATTTGTGAAGTTTTGAATTTAATAAAAGACTACTGCACTTGGATTCTGTTTCCTCCTCTGCTTCAACCAAAACGTAACACATGCATTAAAAACAGTTTATCAGGTTTCATTTGTTGATTAAATAAAATGAAAACAACTCATAATCTTAACACATTTGAATGTGAAAAACCAGCCAGTAACGAGTTTACGTTTCACGAGCGTAATGAACAACATCAGTTGGTTCATTTCGATTAATTTCTGAGTCATTCACTAAATGAACTGACTCATTTAGTTGTTTGGATTTAGATTTCTCCAAATAAATAGTGATGGCAATTTCAAAACATTGCTTCATGAAGCTTCGAAACCTTTACAAATATTTTGTTCTGAATCAATGGTTCAGAGCATGTATTAAAGAGTCACGTGATTTCAGTAAACGAGGCTTAATTACCTCACAACTGTTTAGAAACACCGAAATGTCAATGGTTCACCGCTGATGATCTCTGTCAACCCATGAAACATGGAGTCAAGAGGAGAACCAATGTACAAGTGTGTGTTTTTACCTGATCTCTGATCGGTTTTATAAATTTGTAGACGTTTTAATTAGTATAATTAAAATTAATAATGGTAGTTTATAGCATAATTAACTGAGCCATTCATAGAATCATCCTTTCAAACTAAAACCGCACCTGATTTTTCCATTTATATTTAAACAGGCATTAACAATATGAGAGATGAAGTTCCTGTAAAAAATACTTCATCACTGCAGTGCTCTAATGCAAGTTATAAAAAGGATGTTGTTTAGTTAGTGGATACATGCAATGCATTATTGACCTTCGTGTCTCATACAGTTATCATGAGAACAGCAGAATAAAGTTCAAAATGACAGTTCTTATTCTTCAAAATATGACTGGTTAATGTACTTGGTACTTGAGTATGAGAAAATAAACAAATTGTATATAAATTGTACAAAACAAGTTCATATTC